TGGAATGGCTTGATGTGACGGATCTGACTGCTCCCCAACGCTTGCCCAAGTAAGAGATAGCCTTGTGCGCTCTTCCGCACCCACGGGCTCTTCTCCGGGTCGTTCTCGGGGCGCTTCTCCGTTCCTTCCATCACCTCCAGCAGGTCATAGTGGTCAAAGATGTTCTCCATCTTGAAGGACCATTCAGCAAAGTTGTCACCGTTGAACTTGTCAAGCCCAAACACCCTAGGCTCATCCCTAGGTGGGCCAAGACTTGGTTGCATGGGCGCCATGGCTGAATCACGGGGTTGGCCTTGAGCTTGAGCTTCTCCACTGCCACCAGCACCTCTGCCACCCCTTTCCTCAGGTCCAGACATTGTCGAAACTGCTCCAAGGGGCTCTGATACCACTTGTTATAGTCACAATAGGCTTGAATGTGCCTAAAACGAAAGATAGAGAGCACAGACGGATTTCTGCACAGCGGCTTCAAACGTTGATAGCGTTCTGCTCACAGCTGCAAATGACTTGATTCAAATTGGATCTGGAGCGTCTTCACGTCGTCTACAATTAGCAATTTAGATTGCACGATTTGATAAAGAATTGACGACACACCGTCAGTTTGAACGAACGGTACTATGGCAGCCACTATAGTCTTAGAACACAAGATAGGAAGAGTTACGAGTTGGGAATGACTCCCAGCTCCTACAAACCCCAAGAGCCGAGGTACAGTGATGTGGAACAGTGCCACACTGTCCCCAACCACGAAGGGTCTCGAAACTACCCTTCACTAGGGCCTACACCAAGTGAAATGTTACACTACACAAAGTAATGTAACTATCTTCAATATCTTGAGGTGTACCCTTTTTGGCGAGCTTCGAAATCACTTGAGGCTTGACACCAAGGCTCGGGCTCTTCATCACAAACTCATCCTTGAGTTCTTGATGGGTCTGCTGCACACACCTGCGACACGCCGAACGTTCGACACAGGACAAAATAGAAACCGCGCACGACAAAATAGAAACCGCGCGCGAGACACAAACGACCGCGTAACACGCGTCTAGCGATAACTCGCTATTGACTCGACACACACACTCGACATCATGACTCAACATTCACACACAATTATAAGCATGAAATATATATTATCCCATGCCCTCATACCATTCCATACACACACACATTCACGCACACGGACAACAAGCCGAGTGCAAACCGTAGGGTTGCACCAACACGGACGGCGTGATGCATGGCGTAGGGCCAATACTTCGCGTCAACGTCGCTCTGCTGTAGGAGGGCGCGAACTTTGGTCATGAGAGTGCGGTTGGTGCGCTCCGCGACGCCTTGCTGGGGATGAGCGTAAGGGAAAGGGAGCTTGTATACGATTCCCTTCTCCTGCATGTATGGTGCCAGCTTCTCGCTTTTGAATTCAACGGCGCAGTCGGTTCGCCATAGCTTGAGGGTGCAGCTGGGCTGGGTCTCGGCGTTGGCATGCCAGACTTTGAAGATGTCATATGCATTGCTCCTGTGCAACACGTTGGCTACCCAGACGAAGCGAGAATAGGCATCGACGAAGGTGAGGGTGTATTTCTCGCCGTTGACGCTGGTCTGTGTGAGAACAAGGAAATCGCTGTAGACTTTCTGAAGTTTTTCGTAACGGTTCGTGCTGGGCTCAAGGAGTTTGAAAGGCTTGTGAGTCAGTGCAGCTTCAGGGCAAATTTCGCAGTCGGTGCGGCGAGATGTATTCCATCAAGGCGGAGTAAGGTTCCACACTTGAGCGCGGATGCAGTTGTTGAGAACTTCTTGCGAGGGGTGACCAAGGCGTTTGTGCCAGAGGTCAGGGGGAGCACGGATGGCAGGTGAGCGTGCGTAGAAGGCTAGTAGTTCAGCGGTGTTGGTGGGAGGCTGCGGGATAGGTTGTGGTGAGATGGAGAGGCCGAGAGCGAGAATGAGGTCACGAGCAATGAGCGGTAGGGCTGGTTCAACTTGGTAATTGCAGCAAGTGGTGCTGTGAGGTCATCTGTGACTGCCGTTCTTTCTGAGAGGACAGTACGAGGAATGTGATGTGGGGGTGGACCGTGGATGGGAGATGGGCCAGCAGTGGGAGGATCATTTGGCCGATGGGTGTGGATTCAGTGGGTAGAGGACTGTGAGGGTAGCGGTTGTAAGGAAGTATGGTGTCGCGGTCAGTGGGAGGCCTGGAGGGGGGTGGACCCCAGGAGTCACTGAATGGTGAGAGTTCCGAGAGAGGAATGCCAATGGGGCGTGGGGACCCATAGGGTCCTGCGACTTCTGGAGCTGCCTCTGCTTCTGCGCGAGCTATTGTTTCTTCAATTGGCTCTTCTTCCTCCTCTGTTGTTGTAGCCCCCCACGCCCCTTCTTCCGTGCCGATGCCTGCTCCCCAGTCTGTTGATGGTGTGGCGCCTCCCCACCCTGTAGTGCCAGTGCTTCTTCCCCAGCCACCTTTGGTGGCTGCAGCTGCTTCCCTTGCTTCGGCGTCTGCTCGGCGGCGATTCTCTTCTTCCACGTGGCACTGAAATTCTTCAAAAGACATGCCGCGGCGAGACCAGGGGTGAGTGACATGATATGTTTCCGAGTCAAGGGGAAGTGGGTTACGATCGACATCAAAGGCTACAGGTCCTGTGTAGCGGGTGAGAAGGTGGAGCCTTTCGTGAACAGTGGGGTCGTCGCACGTTTTTCTGTGCTGGAAGATTGTAAGTGCTGCGGCAAGCTCAGCGTGGTGATGTACGCTGGTGGGATATGGTGTCTGTCATTCTGCTTCCTCGATGATGTCCATGCCAGCGTGCTGTATGACTGGTTCTTCCTCCTCGGAAGAGTCGGGTTCTGCAGGGGGCTCATCTGCTTCGTTGTCACTAACCTTGGCCTTATCATCTTCGTATTAAGGATTCGTTACTTAGGAATGTTTATTCAACTATTCCATATCGTAACAGGAATAACGAATAACTAGGCTGTGACTGAATGAACTAACATTACAATGAAGGAACGAGATTATATAGTGACTACCTTAGCTAGGAGGGAACCTCGGGGCTACGAGGTTGGGTGCAAGTTGTTAGAATGGTCCAAGCTACTAACGGAAGCTATAGTAGTCTTAGAACCTCCTCCTAAGGCCTAGGATTCTTAGGAGCCAACTTGGGCATGAACCATGCTAGAACCAAGGCGATTTCCAAGAAGTGAAGTTCCAACAAGAGAGAACCCTAACCTATAGGGTTTGGGAGGTGGTCCACTCTAAAGAGTGTACACTACAAGTTCTCTCAACCCAACCATTGTATTCTACACTACTATAATGTAGATCTACCACTACATATGTTTATTGGAGCAACCCGAATTAACCTAAATTCGAACACCCCCCCTTTCTGCAATAAGCGATAAAGTTCACCCATGAATCAAAACACAACCCCTCCAGCGAATGAAGCCTTGGCCTTTGCAGCCATCTCTCGCATGCCGATGCGCTCAAGGTTCTCATGCAGCTGCAAGCTTGGGAGAGCTTTGGTGAGCATGTCGGCATCCTGGAGGTGGGAGCGTACTGAGTGCACCTCAACCTCCTGCTGGCGCACCGCATCCCGTACAAAGTGCCATGCCACCTTAATGTGCTTGGTGCATTGATGGAGAACGGGATTGTGGGAAAGGGAGATAATACCCTCATTATTACAGAGCAATGGAATAGCTCCCCCATCCCCCACATGCATCTCTGCCAACAAACTCCTCAACCAAATGGCCTCCTTGGCCCCCTCCGATAGAGCTTTACACTCAACTTCAGAAACGCTTGCTGCAACACTATCTTGCCTTTTGCTATACCAGCTGATAGCTCCTCCTCCCAACTTAAAGACATAGGCAGAGCGACTCTTGCCATCAGTCTCACCACCCCAATCCGAGTCGGTGTACCCAACAACCTACTCACCACCTTGGCGTTCATACATGATGACACGATCAGCTGTGTCGACAAGTACCTGAGTGCTCTCAGTGCAGCGTGCATGTGAATGCGTCTTGGTGCCATGCAGGACTGTGCAAGGGTGTTGACAGTGAATGTCAGAACGGGTAGTTACAGCAGCATACATCAAGCTGCCAACGAGACTCTGGTACACATTTACATCAGCTGCAGCACCTTCTCACTCGACCAAGTACCAAACCTGATGTTAGAGAGATCATTGGGTGACATTGGATTAGCATCCTATGTGTCTCCTTCAGTAGATCACCAAACCTTCCCTGAAGACCACGGACATATTTCTCCTAACCAATCTCCAACCACCCATCCTTGACCGACCTGCGAACCTCCACTTTAAGGTACGTGGATACCTCACCTAGATCCTTCATCTCGTACCTCTGAGCAAGCACCTCCTTGACCTGGCTGATCAGCTCCAAGCGTGGAGACACAAGCAAGAGGTCATCCACATACACCAATACATACACAGGCTCTTCATCCACAAACTTGATGTACAGAGCCTCATCGCTTGCACTGCATTCAAACCCTGCTGCAATCAGGGTGGTACCAATGTCCTCATTCCACGCACGAGGCGCTTGCTTGAGCCCATAGAGAGCTTTGCGCAAGCGATACACTCTACCTGTACCATCATCAAATCCCTCAGGCTGCCTCACATACACCTCCTCCTGACGAACTGCATTGAGGTAAGCATCATCAACATCCTCTTGTTGTACATGCCACCCTTTTACCGCGGCTTCTGCAAGAAGCACCCGACCTGAGGTAAGCTTGCCCACAGGGGCAAATAACTTATCAAAATCCTCCTCCGGCTCCTGAGTATACCCCTTAGCAACAAGACGAACCTTATGATGTACCACCTTATCCTCCTTGTCAGTCTTCCTGCGGAAGATGTACTTGACCCCAATGGCTTTTTTACCTAGAGGTAAGTCAACCGGCTCTTGATCCCATACACCCATAGTGCGCATGGCATTCACCTCCTTCTCAGCGCCTGCCTTCCATGCAGGTCCCTCAGGGCCACGCAGTGCCTCAGCAAGCGTGCGTGGGACATCACTAGTGCTCACACCTGCTAGCGCAACACCTTCTCCTCCCTGGCCAAGCACAGCATGCCCTCAACCACACCAGCATCCCCCCCTACCTCCTCACCACCTGTACCAGACTGGATACCAAGCACCTGCAAACCCGTAATCGGTGGTGGGGAGGTAGTCGCTGGTGACATAGGTGCACTCATAGAGAGAGTGACAGGGCGCTGACCAGAGGAGGAGGAAGAGGAAGAAGCCTGGGAAGCGGATCTCCGCTGAATGACCGAGGGGCCGCTGAGCTGCTGCAGAGGGGCAGTCTGCTGCTGCACCGACACATTCAGCGGTGCCGGTGGTGGTGTTGAAGGTGGCATATCAGCGTCATCAACCGCTGCTAAGGGTGGAGAGAGTGGAAGGGGGAGGAGCTAAAAAATCTCAGCGGCATCCTGCAGAAGCTCCCCAAATCCCTTGGCCTTGTCCCCATCCTTCCATGTCACATTCTCAAGAAAATCAACATCCCGAGCAATGCGAATGCGCATGACAGAATGGTCCAACATGCGCCAGCCCTTGCTCTCCATGACCACCCCAACACATACACACATGACGGCGCCTGCATCAAGCTTGCCACCCTTCTCATGCCCATGCAACATGACACTCCCCATGCAACTCCAAATCCAAGCCATGCCCACATGCGGCTTCTGGCCTGACCATGCCTCAATTGGGGTGATGGAGGCAGGCAAAGCACTGTTGGTGACCCGGTTCTTAACCCACACGACCCAGATCAATGCTTCACCCCACAAGCGAGCAGGGAGGCCACTGTCAACAAATAATGTGCGGATTCCCTCTGCCATCATCCTATGCTACCTCTCCACCACCCCATTCTGTTGGGGTGTATCTGTGACACACAGTTGAGTTTTGATGCCAAACTCTGCCTTCCATGCTTTCACAGCTTCCCCCAACAACTCGCCACCCCTGTCTGAGCGAACAGCCTTCAGCTTCCGCCCACACTCCAACTCCACGTCCGTATGCCACTGGCGGAGGACTTTTGCGACTGTGGCAGATTCCTTGTTGGGGAGTGGGAACGACCAAACTCGTCTAGTGAAGTCGTCAATGCGACTGAGGACATACACCGCTCTTCCCGGTGACGATGAGCGCATGGGCCCCCAGAAGTCCATGTGGACCTCATCCAAAATCCCAAGTGCCCGAGACGGCTCATGGGGAAATGGCTTTTGAGCCGACTTCCCCAATAAGCAAGGCTCACAAGGAGAGCAATCAGTGCCCCCCCCCCCCCCCCCCCCCCCAATCTCCAAGCCCAGTACACTGTTCCCTCAAGCCATCTATTGCAATGTTGTGGGAGCGGTATGACCAAGGCTGCGGTGAGCAAGGGTCAATGGGGAAAATGAGGAGGAGGATCTACCTGCAAGAGCACTGCCCTGTGTGCCCCGAGCAAGACGAAGAGACATCTGCACCAATCCATGGTCCCGTCCCCTCTCCTTTTCTCCAATCGCCAACACCCTCTCCCCCAGTGTTATTACACATCCCTTGCCCTTGAATGTGACAATGACATCCCAAGAGGTGAGGTGTGGGACTGACAGCAGACGCGTGTGCATCTCAGGCAGAAGGTGGACCTTTTGAATCCACAGCAGCTGACCTCCAGCACCAACCACTAGCACCTCACCCATGCCAACATCTTTCACCACCCGTCCATCTCCCAATCTAACTCCCCGAATCTCAGGTGGCTCAAGCTTACTCTTGAAGTCTGATGCATAAGGAGTAAAGTTGTGGCTGGCCCCACTGTCAATCCACCACCCCTCTCGCGGCTGCTCCTCTCCTACTGCTGCAACTGCCTCTCCAACTGCTACTTCTGCCTTGTGATCCTGCTCCTCCTCATCCGCCACCTGTGCCTTGCCGTTGGACCCACGACCCCCCCGCTGTAAAAATGCTGGAATTCCCCCCTTAGGTCGGTGAGGACATCGTTGCCATGCATGTCCCTCATCCGCCATAACACAACCCCCTAGGAGCCATGCCCTTGGACCCCCAAGGGAAATCAAGCACTCCTGCTTTGCCTTTCCCCTGACCCCATCTGCCCAGGTTGGTGCCGCTGCTGCTACCGCTGCCTCCATGCTTTCCTCCTTTGTCCCAATTTCCCCTGCCGCTGCTGCCCACTTTTGTACCCGCTCCAAAAGCGGCTACACCATCTGATCTTGGTGCGACACCAATCCGCGTCTCCTTGCTCCTCAACAAAGTCAGCAGCTGATCCTTAGTGAGCAATGATGATTGGTTGTTCAACACCACCTTCAGCATCTCAAAGTGAGGGGGTAGTCCTTTGAGTACCCTCATCATCCACTCCTTTTCCTCCTCCTTCCCTCCAGCAGCCAAGTACTTGGACCTCAAGTCTTCGGCACGCGCCCAGTATGCAGCCACTCCCTCCCCCTCTCTCATCTTCAAGGACGAGAGCTCCTCGGAGAGTGCCATTCGGTTACATAATCCACGCTGAAGGTAGAACTCATTCACTCGTGTGTATGCCGCTGCTGTGCCTGCAGGTACTCGGGTGCCTGCAGGAACTCGGCTGTGTCTGCTACATGATTTCTGGACCGTTCCAATGGTATATCGCGCTCCTGGATCCTGCGTCCAAGGTGTCCGCTAAACTCGTCGAAGCTGGCCGATTTTCCGTCGACAAATACTCAACTGTTTCGCCCGATTTTGTGCCTGTTGGATGCGCCCTGGTGTCCTCTCTTGGCGCCCGCCCTCCAATTTCTTTTCCGCGCTTTAAAGCCCGCAGCCAAAGTTGTTCAAGCTTACTAAGGTTGGCGTTATAGGTTTGAGATAAGCGAAGTTGTGGCCAGTGGTTGGGTTCGCGAAACATCTCGCTTCGATGCTGGCTTTCGCTGAGTCAGCCAGCTCCAGTGTCTTGTGCTCGAAAGTTCCAAGATGCAACTCATTATTTTTCAAACTTCCAGCTGTCAAGGCCTGGCTATCAGCGTTCGACCAATCAGCACACTCTGTGTAACTGGTCACCACTTTTCGCCAACCAGCACACTATACAAAACGCTTTTGATCAAGCTTACTATACTTGACGGGCGCGGTTCGCAACTTGGGCCGCGGGCTTTAAAACCGGAGGGCCAAGAAGGCCCAAATTGCCTAAACCTTCCTAACCTTGGTTGAGTTTGGCCCTCCCACCCAAAACCTTGGCCAATTGTGTTGCTCGCTCCAACCAAGCTTCCTAAGGTTGAAGTTCTTGGCCCCCGGGTTTTAAATCGTCCCCAATTTGTGATTTTCCAATTCGGCTGCCGACCGTTTTTCGCGAATTACGTCCTATCTGCTTGTCCATTGGTGACAACTCCGAGGCAATTGTTGTAGATCGTGCTAATACCTTTCCAACGATATGCTGCATGTCTTGATCGGCCAAAATTTACCGAGCGCCTCCGTGAATAGATATAGCTTTTCTCATCCTCCCACGTCTAGAGTCCGCCACGGTGCAATTTCGGCAGGCCATCGGGAGGGATGGAAGCTAAATAGCTTCCACCAAGATATTATGGTCCAATGCCTTCAGTAACTCCTATTCCAAGAGATCGCTAGGCCTTCTTAGCTCTGATACCATGTTAGAATGGTCCAAGCTACTAGCGGAAGCTATAGTAGTCTTAGAACCTCCTCCTAAGGCCTATGAATCTTAGGAGCCAACTTGGGCATGAACCATGCTAGAACCAAAGCGATTTCCAAGAAGTGAAGTTCCAACAAGAGAGAACCCTAACCTATAGGGTTTGGGAAGTGGTCCACTCTAAAGAGTGTACACCACAAGTTCTCTCAACCCAACCAATGTATTATACACTACTATAGGGTAGATCTACCACTACATATGTTTATTGGAGCAACCCGAATTAACCTTAATCCCTGTTACGATATGAAATCAAATGACAAGGCATTCCTGTATGCTGCAGGAGCCGACTCGACCGAGTACGAAGTCGAGGAGTCATAAGAGTCGAAGCGACGCAGCAACCGTCTGACCAAGACCGATGCAGGCAGAAACATTTGAAGTGAAAAGAGCGGGAACAGGATTGAAACGGGTTCCCGCGCCGCACGGTTTGAATTTCGCTGTAATAAGGGGATGTACCAGGGACGTCGCTAGCAGAAATTTTCTGTATGTTTGTCTTGTTAGAATAACTAGCTAGGTGAGGAAAGAACGAGAATGGTGAGATTAGGTCAAGATTGGGGTACAAGACTAGAGTGTCGAGACTATTTCTGTACCCCCTAAGGCTAGCCCCAATATAGCCTAGATACAATTATGCATATGTTTTGACACACCCCCATAGGCGAAATGGGGGATAGCCAGAGCAAGTAGTGGTCACAAGACCAGTCAGGAAGGGCAAAGCAAGCTCAGGGTGGATCTCGAGGAAACCACACAAATTCCGAGCACAAGCAAGTGGTCACAAGACCAGTTCACATGCAGTTTAATAATATAGCAAGGGGTACAGTGATCACAACCTAGCAAGTGTAAGCATGCAGGTAAGCAAGTGAGGCACAGTAGGCACAAGGCCTAGAACAGTACAGAAGCGCTGATGATCACAAGGCTGAAGAGCCTTGGTGAACACATCAGCAGTGTTGGCCCGAGTGGCCACGTAAGCAAGACGAAGCTGACCTCGCTGCTGCAGCTCTCGAGCAAGGAAGTAGCGAAGAGCGATGTGCTTCGTTCTGTGCTCCAGTCTGTGCTCCTGACACAGGGCAATGGTAGCATTGTTGTCTACGTACAGCACTGGAGGAGAACGAGGCCGCTCTCCGAGGTCAGTCAGCAGGTAGGTGAGCCAGCGTAACTCCTGTGCAGCCATGGCTGTGGCGTAGATCTCAGCCTCACAACTGGAGCTGAGAACTGAAGACGAGCGAGTAGAACGCCAAGAAACTGAACCAGAGCCAAGGCTGAAGGTGTAACCCTGAGACGACCGCTGAGTAGCCTGGTCGTCAGCCCAAGAAGCGTCTGAGTGCCCAGTGAGGACAACTCGAGCCCGTCCTCCAAGCACTAGCCCCATGCCCGACGTACTGCACAAGTAGCGCAACACCCTCTTAGCTGCATCCATGTGCTCCTTCCGGTGACGGCCAGGAGCGACATAGCGTGCGAGGATGCTAAGAGGGTATGCAAGGTCAGGTCGAGTGCAGGTCATCAGGTACATGAGGCAGCCCACAAGCTCTGGATACGGGCCACTCGGCTCTACGGACTCATCCGAAGGCAGAGCTGAGAGCGAGTGACCCGTAGGCAGAGGAGTGGCCTGAGGCGAGGAGTACGTGAAGCGGAAGCGCTGAAGGACCTGCTGCACCATGTGTGACTGAGTCAAAGTGATGGTGCGCTGTGCTCTGTCCCGGGTGATCCGCAAGCCAAGATAGCTTGTCAGTTCACCCAGGTCTGTGCACGTGTGTCTCTTCTGCAGCTCCGACTTCACGTGGGCGAGTGCCGCAGTGTCAGCAGTAGCAAAGACCAAGTCGTCTACGTAAACGAGAACGTAGAACGGCGGCAGAGTGGTGTCGGTGCGCAGAAACAGCGACGGGTCAGCAGTAGAAGGAGCAAACCCAAGAGCAGCAAGAGTAGTCCTCAGTGTGTCGTGCCACTCACGGGGTGCCTGGCGGAGACTGTAGACTGGCCGCCGGAGGCTCCACTGGGTACCAGGAGGGAACGACCCAGTGAAGCCAGGTGGGTGGCGCAGCCAGATCTCCTCGTGCAGGCTGCCCTGTAGGAAAGCAGTGCTGAAGTCAAGAGAGTGGAGCTCGTAGTCACGCTGAGCGGCGACGTGCAGCAGAACCCGAAGAGTGTCATCTTCGGGGTCGGGGAGAAGGTCAGGAAGAAGTCAACTCCCTCTCGCTGACTGAAGCCTCGTGCAACGTAACGCGCCTTGAAGACAGGCGGAGAACCCGGCGGCCGCTTCACCCTGAAAATCCACATGCCACTGACGATGTTCGCCCCAGGTGGGGGAACCTCGTCGACGTAGGTGCCTGTGGACTTCCAGGAAGCCATCTCTGCGTCCATGGCTGTCTGCCACTGAGAGGAGTACTCACCCGCGATCGCCTCAGCGTAAGAGCGCGGGGTCGGGATGTCTGGAGCATCCGGGTCTCCCTCAGGGGCAACCAGCATGGACACGAGATGAGGTAAAGCAGCGGCAAAGCACTCAAACTCCTCCTGCCTGTCCTCAAGGACGTCCGTGCCAAGAGCACACTCACCCCCGACGGACGGAGGACAGACAGACTCAGACTCAGACTCAGCGACAAGGCTAGTGGCATAGTCTAGACGACAAGCGGCAGCAAAGTCAACTAGCTCAGCGACTAGAGCAGACGCAGCAGAGGACTCAAAGGAAGGGTCAGTGACAACAGTGGCAAGAAGACGCGTGACAGTAGGACTGGCAGCACGAAGGGAGTCAGACTCCGGGTCACCAAGAGCAGGAAGAGAGGACGCAGGAGGAGACGGCAGAGGGACGCGCTGAGGAGCAGTGGAAGGACGAAGCGCCATCTGGTGAGTGCCTGGGACAGCAGGAGGATGCTGACGAGGGACACGACGACCAGTGTGAGCAGCACGAACAGGCGACGCTCGACGAGACTCGGGCGACGCAGGACGAGACTCAGGCTCACGACGCTCGGTAAGACCTCCAGTCGGACCAGTGTAAGGAGAAGGACCAGGGAGTGGTAAGGCAGGAGGTAACTGTGACTACGACTGGACTGGCGGAAGACACTCTAAGGAGGGAGCAGGAGAAGGAGGAGGCGACTGACCAAGAACCTGCTGAAGGAGCGGAACGAAGTACGGCTGCGGCCGCGCAGCGCCGCCAGAACCAGCAGAGAAACCACCAGTAGCCTCAGCTCCAGGGTCTCCAGCTACAACGCCCGCAGCACCACCAGGAGCTCCAGCAACGCCAGCACCTCCAGCACCAGCAGCAGCTTCAACTCCAGGGTCCTCAGCACCAGCATCAGCTCCAACTCCAGGGTCCGCAGCACCAGCAGCAGCTCCAACTCCAGGGTCCGCAGCACCAGCAGCAGCTCCGACTCCAGGGTCCTCAGCACCAGCAGCAGCTCCAGCTCCAGGGTCCTCAGCACTAGCAGTAGCTCCAACGCCAGGGTCCCCAGCACCAGCAGCGCCACTCCGGAGACTGCAGCGCCGAGCGTACCACTCTCGAAGTCGCTGGGGAGAGGGTGGCTCCCGCCGAGGCGGGGAACCACGAGCACCAGCTGCAGCAGCACCTCTCCTGAGGCTGCAGTACCGCGAGTACCACTCACGCAGCTGCTGGGAAGAAGGAGGGTCTCCAGGCGCCGAACGCCCAGGAGTAGCACCCCCAGGCTCAGTACCCTCAGACGTAGCACTCTCAGGTCCAGCACCCCCAGGCTCCGCACCCCCAGGCTCCGCACCCTCAGGCTCCGCACCCCCAGGCTCAGCACCCCCAGGCTCAGCACCCCCAGGCTCCGCACACTCAGGCTCCGCACACTCAGGCTCAGCACCCCAACCAGGACGAGAGTCGACAGCTACCTCGACAGGCTCAACCGGGTCTACCTGGGACACACCTGAGGGAGCGGCACCTGGAGGGGGGAGGGGGTCTACTACAGCAGCACCTGGAGCGAGGAAGAGAGGCGGTGGGGGGAGCGGGGCAGTGCGGTAGGGGAAGAGGCGGTAGTAGGGGACGGACTCGTCAAAAGTGACATCCTGAGAAGGCAGGACACGACGCGAGGTGGGGTGGTAAAACTGCCAACCAGACGCGTCCGGGACAAAGCCAAGGAAGACACAAGGGACAGCGCGGGAGGAGAGCTTGCCCGCAGACGTATCGCGAACAAAGGCTCGAGATCCCCAGACCTGAAAACGTGACGCATCGCCAACCTTGCCCGTCCAACGCAGTGTCGGCGAAGTCTCCGGAACGGAGACACGGGGCCAGAGGTTGAGCTGATGCGCAGCGTATCGGACTGCAAACGGCCACAGAAAGTGGGGGGCAGCCGCATGGATCAAGGAGGTACGAGCGACCTCCATGACCAGGGACGTCGCTAGCAGAAATTTTCTGTATGTTTGTCTTATATTCAGATCAAGTTTTTAGAGTTCATTTGATTTTTCAGAAATTGGTATTTGTAATTTCTGATTAATGAGTAGTTTTTTAGTTTATCTAATCAATCAGGTTCTTGTTTTGGTTTCATCTGATACCGAATCCAATTATGTAGGGGTGAATATGGAATTCGAGTTGTGAATGGGCGAATCTAATGCGTCAGGAGGCGAATCTGTTAGCGTCAGGGGGCGAATCTGTTAGTGTCAGGGGCGAATCTGCTGTGTCAGGGGCGAAATTGTTGTGACGGGGCGAATCTGCTATGTCAGGGTGACGGCGAATCTGCTGTGATGGGCCTAATTTGCTGTGAGGGGGTGATTCTGCTGTGACTGGTCAAGTCCGAATCAATTGCGTCGAGAAACCCATTCGATTGGCCAGACATGCATTTTGAGAAGCCCTCAAATCCTAGCGACGACCCTGAAATGTACCTCTTAGAGTACATGGCTAGTCTAGGTCCTTTCGTATTTCCCTGTATTCTTATATAACCGGATGTATGCATGCTATTATCATCTCAGTCATTTACATTCACGCTGACCTGAGTTCACTACTGCCGCTACAAACACTACTCTGCGATCAACCCTAAACGATCCTTCGCTAAGTCCCACTTGGGATTGTAACAATTCCAACACAGGTTTGGCGATCGGGACATTCGGAGGCGATGCGGAGCAGCCTCTGAAGCGTAGGTGTCGGCCGAAACTTGCGAAGTCCGAAATGTCGGGGTTGTATGCGTAGCAGTCAACCCCGGCAGTGAAAATTCCTTACATACGAGCTAACTATTGCTAGGCTGGCATAAGGGTTCGGGCTAGACCCGAAGCATAGGCAGACTCGGCCAGGCCAGCGGTGCATGATTTGGTAAAACAGTGTGCGAGGAGTTGGCAAAGCCCCGTTAGTAGTATAGTTACGGGCGAACAACGATTGCTGCTGTACGCGATGTTGAAGAACGCTGTAAGGAATGCCGGAAAATTGCTTACACCATGTAACAAATGGATTTTCTTCGAGTGTGAAATACGTCCGTAACGGGTGAAGTAATCACGAAGGGCGTTTGTCGCATTGCACGTTCCTCTAGTGTGGTCCGACTTGAATTCCACACCCTGGGCGAAAAGCCCCGTAACTAGAAATCAACCACCCTGCCCGTAGCGAAGGCAATCCCACCAACTTTCGAGTATCGCATACTCAATCGACGATATGCCTCACCTGAAGTCTTGATTTCACACACCAGGTGCTGCACTCCCATTTCCTACAGTGGCCACCAGCGCTCGGCACAACCAACGTCCAAGAGCAAAGAAGAAAGGAGGCGGGCATTGACGGGAGAAGCAAGAGAGCAGAGCAGACTGGTGCATTACTGCTGAACGCTGGCAACCCTGCACTTAGCACTCCTGGAATTCGTCCTAATTCAGCGTAGACTCATGCTGTTTCAGTTTCCCCCTCACCGCAGCGTCGGTGTGCGTCAATAACACGAATCCCTTCACAGAATCTTCAGATTCCAACGAATGGGGTTCGCCGGAGTCGCGTTTCAGTCGCGCGCGGCGGCGCTGGCGGAGCTGCAGCACTGCCCGCAGTTCCACGACGCCATTCTGACGCTCTCCGACGGCGCCATGTTCTCCGCGCCCGCGTGCCTCCTCTACGCGCGCAGCAAGTGGTTCCGCCGCGCGTGGGAGGACGCGCCGGGCAGCGGCTTCGGGAAATGCGTGGAGATCGCGATTCCGCCTGTGCCCGGCGGAACGGATGCGTTCGAGAGCATTCTACAGTACTGCTACGGGCTGCCTGTTAACGCGGATGCTACTAACGCGTTGCAGCTTCTGTGCTGCGCAGCGTTCTTCGAGATGTGTGAGGGGAGCGAGGAGGACTCGTTGCAGCGACAGGCGTGGAGGTACATTAACGAGTATGTTCTTAACGAGTGGGAGGACAGCCTGCGGCTGCTGGAGACAGTAGCGAGGGACGAGCTTGTAATGAGGGAGGCTCTGAAACTGGACCTCCCGCTGCACGCGTCAGCATGTGTGGCAGGCACGTGCGCCTCTCGACCTCCCCTTCCCGTCCCGCCTCCCCCTTTCCCCCCTCCCTCGTCTTCTGCGCTTTACCCGCTTCATCTTTTCGTGCAGTGAGCGCTCTTCCCACGCTCTGCAACCGCCCCCTGCTCGCTTTGATCGCCTGTCTGCCACCCCATCACCACGTGATACCTGTTCCCTTACCTGTTTCCCAAACATCACCCCTGCACCACCCGTGCACCACCCCTACACCACCCCTACACTACCCCTACGCCACCCCTGCACCCCCCCACCACACCACTAACCCACGTGCAGACCATCTGAGCGCCATGCTGTCGGGTCCCTTCGACAGCCCCACGCGCACGGCATCTCTCCACCACCTGCTGGCGCGCCTGGCCGCCCTGCCCACGCCCGTGCTGTCATGCGTGCTGCAGGCGTGCCGGCAGGCCAGTGTGAGCTTCGTGCGCCTCGGCAACTACCTCGCCGCCCACTCCCACTCCTGCCTCTTCCAACACATCCCCTCCCTCGCTGCCGCCACCGCCGCTGCTGCTGCTGCTGCTGCTGATGGTGGTGATGTTGCAGTGGAAAAAGAGGCACCAGGAGCAGCAGGGGCAGGAAGTGGGGCAGCGGCTTCGTCCGTTGGGCTTTCAAGCAGCGGTGGTGCAGAGAGGAGGGTGGCTGGCGGAGGGGGAGGAGGATACAAGGTGGTGTGTGGGGAGGAGGCAGCGGAGGAGGCGGAGGAGAGGGAGGAGGTAGGGCGGGCGATGCTGTTTGAGTATGCGTGCAGTGAGGCGCTGGAGCACGCTGCAGCACTGCAGGAGCTGCACCACCGCCCGCCAGCAACAGCAGCCGCAGCGGGAGGAGGAGGCGTGGGCGGGGAAGGCGGGGCATCAGCAGCAGCGGCAGCGCAGCAGCAGCAGCAGGCGTTGAGGCGGCAGCAGCAGGGGGGGCTGAGGTCGAGCACGCGCTACATGCCGTCAGTGCAGTACCTGATCGTGCTGCTCAAGCTCTGCGTAACCATGCAGGAAGGTCACGCAGTGACGGATGCACACGGGCAGGGGCAGGGCGGTCAAGTGGGCGGTGTTGGTAAGACGAGAAGCTCAGCCTCGTTACAAGGGGACTCGATACAAGGAAAGGAAGGGCCAAGACAGCCGGTGAACAGCAGGGGGGTTCAAAGGGCATCGTCGGTGCAGCGGGTTGGAGGCATGGGCGTGAGGGGGGGTGCGGGCGCTGAGAGCACGGGGCTGCGGGAGACCAAGAGCGACAGCGACGTGGCCTCCAGTGAGCGGGCGAGTGCGGGCAGGAAGGGCGAGGGCATGGGGGAGAGCGTGCGGGCGGGCGTGGGGCGGCGCAAGGAGCTGCTGTTCACACGGCTGGCTTGCCGGCTGACGGCCATGCCCACGGCGCTGTCCCTGGCGGACCTCGTCTTCCTCGGCCCCGCCACCAGCCTGCTGCTCCTCCACTCCCTCCGCGATGCCTCCCTCTCCCATGCCAACCACCCCACCGTCCCACCCCTGCCCCCCCATGCTGGAGGCGCCCTGCCCCCGCTGCCATCGCAGCCACCACCAGCGCCCACCACCAATGGCACTGGCACCAGCATCACCAGCAGCAGCGGCGGCGGCAGCGGGCGGCGTGTGGCGGTGCGGGTGGTGGGGTCGGCAGCAGCAGCGCTGGGCGGCGATCTGGTGTGCGACTACGTGCACTACCTGGCAGCGCGCATGACGCACCAATCACAGCACCACACGTGGCTGCCCTTCCTGCGCCTGTGCCCTGCGTGGCCCGGCCTGTCGAGCTTTCTGATCGACCTGATCGCGCTGCTGAACCTGCTCTTCCCCGACGCCCGCCACCTGCCCCCCGTGCCCGAGCTGTGGACCATGGTGGACGTCAGTGCGCTGTCCGACGACAAGCTCGCCCTCGCCGGGAAGATGTGCTGCGCGGAGGGGGGTCAGGGCGGAGATGCGGGAGGGGATGGGGGGGAGAGGGGCGGCGGGTGGGGAGGGGGGTGGGGTGGGAGAGGGAGGGAGCAGGGGAGGGGATGGTGGAGCGAGGGGAGGGTGTTGGCGCAGCAGGTGGAGAGGGAGCAGCGGGCGAGGGGTGTGAGGGCGGAGGGGGAGTGGGGGAAGGAGGGGGAAAAGGGGGGGAGGGAGGGGGGGATGCGGGGGGAGGTGGAGAGGGAGCGGCGGGGGCGGCAGGAGAGGGCGCTGCAGCAGGCGGCGCTGGAGGTGGAGAGTGTGCGCGCTGCCAGCACGCGCCTCGCCCTGGAGACCGCGCAGGTGAGCACTGGTGGTGGTGGCGTGGCAGCAGCAGCAGGAGGAGAGGCCACAGGTGACTCGCCCCTTCTCCCTGCACCTTCACGCACACCTGACTCCCTGCATGTCTCAGCATCACGTGCTCTCCCACCCTTTCCCTGGCACGTCTTTCTGCCACGGCATGGTTGGGTTGGGTTGGGGCCCACGCGTCATACGGCCCTTGCCCGCTCACAACCGTCGCACGCACCTGTGCACCTTCGCTCGCATCCACCAGCAGCACGGCAGGGCGTGGCATGGCGTGGGAGCCTCACCCCTGGGAGGTCGTCTCCTAGAGGCCGTGCCACTGGGAGTGGTCGCAGCATCATACCTCCTGAGTGCAGCCGTCCCTTCTCCCCCCCCACCCGCGCCGTCAGGCCATGCCATGGAATCCATGTCCCTCGGTAGCTGGACGCGCCACCATACGGGTCTGCAGCGACGCGTGTCTGCAGCAGCGCGGGCTGGAGGCGGACATGGTGGTCCACATTGATGGGGTCACCACCCCGCTGCACGCTGTCAGGGCTGCTGCCCTTTCCCTGGTTCTCCTGCCTGCCTCTGCATGCCCCTGGCCCAGCCATCATACTGCCCTCGCTCGCTCAAAACCCTCTTACTAACCTCTCCGCTCTCCCTCCCACCCCCCGTGACCACAGGGCATGGCGTCGGACCCATGTCCATGGGAGACGCTACAGCAGCGCGGGCTAGATGCGGACATGGTGGTGGACATCGATGGGGTCACGTGGCCGCTGCACCGCCACGTGCTGCTCCCGCACTGCCCGCTCCTCCACTCCCTCCTCCCCGCCGCCGCTGCTGCCGCCGCCACCGCCAGCGCACCTGAGGGCGACCACGGCTTCACACCGCTGGCGCTGGGCACGGGGCTGCCCATCGTGGCGTTGCAGGGCTTCCCCGGGGGTCCGCGCGCCTTCTCCATCATCGCCCGCTGGTGCTACGGCTCGCGCCTCAAGCTCTCGCCCAGCCAGGCCGCTGCTGTGCTCTTTGCTGCGCGCTTCCTCGGTGCGTGCCTGCCAACCCCTGTGCCAAAAAAAAAAAACAAAAAAAGGGTTTTGTCCACAACATCTTTGTCCTGTCCGTTTCCATACTCTCGCTCACTCTCCTCTCCTCCCAAAAGGTTTTCTTTTTCCGTGCGTCCCACCCATGCATAAGTGACAACGTGGGAGAGGCGCCAGCGTTTACACCTTTTGTCAACCCCAGTGTCATGCCTTTCTCTCCTTCCGTCCGCCCTCCTCTCTGCATCCCTGCACCCGCCTCCCTGTCAACCCTCAATGGATGGGCGGTGCAAGCAGGCAGCGAAGCACTCCTGCCGGTGATGTGATGGTGCGCATGGTGACGTGGGGTCCTGCGGAGGGGTGCCACCAGTACTGCTCACACACGCTTGACCCTCTCTTCCCCACCCACCTTCCCACTCCGCTCTGCCCACCCTTTATCCTGGGTGCACGGGGCGTGCAGGCATGGACGACCGCGGCAGCGAGGCGCTCATCCCGGTGGCGGTGCGCGCGGTGAAGGGCGGGCTGGCGGAGGGGTGGCAGGCGTGCTTTGACATCCTGGAGCGGTGCTACCACGACCGCGTGCTGGACGCGCTGGTGGTCGAGTTCAGCCTCAACCGCCACTTCGTTGACTCCGCCTGCAGTGAGTTCTGCCCTGCCCCGAGTTGTGGGGTCGAGGCAGCACTGGCCACTCTCACCTTGTCCATCCCCGCCACCCACGTTCACCTTCTCTCACACCTCATTCACGGGCTCCACTTTGATTCTGCAGTCTCACTCTCCCCGGGTCTACTCCCTCTCACCGCTCATTGCCCCAACCCCATCCACCCCGCACCATCGCTCACCACAGGCGCGATAGTGAAGCTGGAGTCGAAGCTGGTGGGGGACGGGCGGTGGGGCAACGACGACTGGGCCACCGTGAACCGGCTGTTAGAGGGCATGAGCAAGCTGCCGCCCGCCATCAGCCGCCGCGTCGTGCAGCAGCTGTGGGACCTGCGCTGCTCCCTCTGGGCCTCCGTGTGCCCTGCACCCTGCTCTGACTGCAACCCCGGGGACAAGGACGAGCACCCGGGCATCAGAGCCATGGCCACGGTGGGGAGCTTCCTTCTCGGCATCACTCTGCTGAGTAAGATGGAGTGGCGGAAGCAGCAGGAGGAAGAGGAGGAGAACAAGGCGAAGAAAGGTGGGAAAGGATTGGTTGGTAGCAGCAGCAGCAGCCCAGGCGGACCAGGGAATTCCCCATCGGCCCAGGCGCTCAGCAGCGGCAGCAGCAGGGTGCGGGGCCGCGCACAACCCCCATACGACAACATCCTGTGGATGCTGCGCGTGCTCAAGCTCTTCATCTCGCCGCCCTTCGACCGCCCCATCCTGCTCGTGCTCAGCAGCAACATGCCCCTCTTGGAGGTACAGCACCTGCAGTTCCTCGACCTCCCCTCCTGCGTCGCCCTCCTCACGCTCGTCTCCGCCGCCCCCCGCCAAGACTCCCACCTTGTCGCCGCCGCAGACCTCCTCGATGCCTACCTCACAACAGCAGGCACCAAGCGCAACCCGCCGCTGAGCGCGGAGGATTTCCGCGCGCTGGCCACGCGCCTGCCGCCGGAGGCGCGGCCGAGACACGACGGGCTATTTGAGGCGGTCTGTGCGTTCGCAGAGGTAGACCCGCGGCCCGCCACGTGGAACCTGCTGGCACTCGTCGACTGCGGGCGCCTCTCCCCGCGCTGCCTGCGCGTCGCGGCGTCTGCGGCGGCGTCCATGGAGTTTGGGCAATCGGCTGTGGCGGGGTTCTGGCTGTTCCTTGTGTCGCTCTTGCGCGCGCTCATGTATGAAGGGTAACGGGTGTGGATATGTATTAATATGGCTTTGTTGTATTATGGTATTGTTAGTGCAGTTTCAAATGCAAAGATCACAAGAGCACATGTGCAAGAAAGGCTTCACCAACTTGCTCTTAACATTGTTGGCTGATTTATATCATAAGGAAGGTCCCCTTGATTAAATACCGGTTACACCCATCTTTACCGAGGCTTGTGCACGTTGCTGGTGAACCGAGCTCGAAAGCACTCTCGTGCTTCACGGCAACACTAACGAGCAGCTTGCGCGCCACTTCCTAAGTTGCACCTCGATTCGCGTTGCGTCTCGTACGGTCGAGTTGAAAGCACGCGGCGCACGGTTCAGAAAGCAGCGCGCGCGAGTATTTGCCGTTGAGATAAGGGCGAAGGCGAAGGCCACCCGATCGGCGCCACCATGGCCGCGTCGCGCAGCGCCCACCGCATTCCAACACGCCCGAGGAAACGTAGCGCCTGCTAGACGTCGCGTCGTAGCCCAGGCTCACGTGGCGAGCCGCGCCTTCGCGCGCCGGTTGACAGGTGGTGTGGCTTCGGGATGGCGGGGCGCGGCGACGACGACGAATGGGACGATGACGTTCCGCTGGGGGGTTCTTTCCGCGGTCCCGCTTCCGCGCCTTCCGCCGCGCGGATCCCTCCCTCGGGGTTCGCCGCAGGCGGCAGAGGCGTTGGCGGAAGGGGGAGCATGGACGGCGCGCGCGGGCAGGGTAGGTTTCGCGGCATGCTTCCCGCTATTCCGCCGAATCCGCTTCACGGGGGATCTCCGTTCCCCCGTCCGCCCGCTGGTTCCGGCAGCACAGGCCACACCGGCCAACGCGCCCCCTCTGCCCATGCCAGCCATGCTGCCAGCTATGCTGCCAGCAATCCTGATAAAATTAGGGTTGGGGGAATGGACGAGTATAGGGGTGGCCAAAGGGGCTTAAGCGGGTTGGGAGGCGGGGGGGAACGGAGAGGGGAGGGCAAGGTGGGCGGGAGAGCCGTTGACGTGGGGGGAGGCTTGGCGGGTGATTGGGAGGGCGAGCAGCAGGAGAGACGCTACAACCCGTTTCACCAGCAGCAGCAGCAGCAGCGGCAGCAGCAACAGCTAGAGTATTTAGAGGAGGGCGCGGAGGAGGGGGACGAAGAGGCGGAGGGGGAAGAGGGGGACGAGTCAGAGGAAGATGTTCCGCTCAACCAGCGCAGGGGGGGCGCGCAGCACAGCGCGGATGGGGGCGACGGGGGGCCGCTGGCGGGCAGAGGCGCAGCGGGAGGAGTGCCTGCTCCAGGGGGGGGCGCTGGGCGCGGGAGGGGGCGGGGGAGAGGACGAGGAGGGGGAAGAGGGGCGGTGGGGGGAAGGGGAGGCGGGGATAGCTTGGGGGGGGAGGGGGGCGCGCCTGCTGCTCCCCTGAAGCGCAAGTCGAGTGGGCCACTGCCTCCCCCGCCACACCCATCCGTGCGCCAGCAGCAGGGGCTTCTTGAAAACGAGGATGCTTATAACGGAGATGGAGTGCACGGAGATGACTCTATAGCGAGTGAAAGCGCCCCTGGCAGGCACTCCGGCAGTCCAGGGAAGGGGCTGGGGAGAGGACGGGGGCGGGGCAGGGGCAGGGGTAGGGGCAGGCTTGGGGGAAGGACAGTGGAGGAGGGGGAAGCGGAAGGGGGAGGAAGGGGAGGACAAGCAGGAGAGTTGGGGGGAGAGGGAGGGGGTGACGTTCTTGGGGAGAGTGGTGGTCTTTTGTCCCCTTGGCGGGGCAGGGGGAGGGGGAGGGGGAGGGGAAGAGGAAGGGGAGGAGGGCGGGGGAGGGGAGGGAGCGCTGCAGGGAAAGAGGCGAGTGAGGAGGAAATAGGGGTGAGCAGTGAGTGGGAGGAAGGGGAGGGGTATGGGCGCAGAGGGGACGCGTATGGAGACAGGCATGGCGGGCGGTATAACGAGTCAGCAGCGGCGGAGAGAGAGGAGTTTCCAGGGCGGCTGCGACTGACTGAGGAGGCACACTCGCCCTTCCCCCTGCTGCCCCCGCCCCCCACCCCTCCTGCTGCAGACCCAGCAGCAGAGACAGGCACAGGCCGCGGGCACACCCTGCAGCTGCAGCGGCAGGAAGAGGAGCAGCAGGAGGGGCAGGAGCAGAAGCAGGGCAAGCGGGCATGCGACACGGCGTCAAGTCTGGCTGCTCGGTTTGCAGCTGCCATGAGCGCGGGTGCTGCAGGGGAGGGGTCGCTGGCGGACGAGGCAGCTGCCATTGCTGCCGCCCTGCCCGCGCCAAGGGTGTGGGACCAGACGAGCCTGGACAGGATCTCGACCGTTGATCGCGAGGAGAAGATCCGACGGCTGGAGTCGCAGTGCATGGACGAGTGTGTGCAGCTGTGCCGCGACCTCATCGTGCGCCAACGCCTCTGGCACCAGGTGGGATAGGGGGGAGGGGTAGGGCCTGTGGCACCAGGTGGGATAGGGGGGAGGGGTAGGGCCTGTGGCACCAGGTGGGATAGGGGGGAGGGGTAGGGCCTGTGGCACCAGGTGGGATAGGGGGGAGGGGTAGGGCCTGTGGCACCAGGTGGGATAGGGGGGAGGGGTAGGGCCTGTGGCACCAGGTGGGATAGGGGGGAGGGGTAGGGCCTGTGGCACCAGGTGGGATAGGGGGGAGGGGTAGGGCCTGTGGCACCAGGTGGGATAGGGGGGAGGGGTAGGGCCTGTGGCACCAGGTGGGATAGGGGGGAGGGGTAGGGCCTGTGGCACCAGGTGGGATAGGGGGGAGGGGTAGGGCCTGTGGCACCAGGTGGGATAGGGGGGAGGGGTAGGGCCTGTGGCACCAGGTGGGATAGGGGGGAGGGGTAGGGCCTGTGGCACCAGGTGGGATAGGGGGGAGGGGTAGGGCCTGTGGCACCAGGTGGGATAGGGGGGAGGGGTAGGGCCTGTGGCACCAGGTGGGATAGGGGGGAGGGGTAGGGCCTGTGGCACCAGGTGGGATAGGGGGGAGGGGTAGGGCCTGTGGCACCAGGTGGGATAGGGGGGAGGGGTAGGGCCTGTGGCACCAGGTGGGATAGGGGGGAGGGGTAGGGCCTGTGGCACCAGGTGGGATAGGGGGGAGGGGTAGGGCCTGTGGCACCAGGTGGGATAGGGGGGAGGGGTAGGGCCTGTGGCACCAGGTGGGATAGGGGGGAGGGGTAGGGCCTGTGGCACCAGGTGGGATAGGGGGGAGGGGTAGGGCCTGTGGCACCAGGTGGGATAGGGGGGAGGGGTAGGGCCTGTGGCACCAGGTGGGGGAGAGGGGAGGGGTAGGGCCTCTGGCCCCAGGTGGGGGAGAGGGGAAGAGAGGGGGGGGCACGATGTGGTGTTGGGAGCTCACTGCTCCTTGCAGTTGGCACACTGCTGCCACTCGTCCCGTCCTTTAGCCGTGCCCCCATCCCTGTTTCCAAGCACCCTCAACAATGACTCCCGGCTTCCTCTCCCCTCCACACCACCCTTTCGCCTCCTTGCCACTCGCCACCCCCCTGTGTCCTCGCTCCTGCCTCTTCCCCTGCCCTCTGCCTCTGCCCCCTCCCCCTGTGCCCTACACCATGCGCCCCCCCCGGCAGGACATAGTGGATGCGGGCAAGCCGCTGCCGCCCGTCAAGCTCTGCCCCATCGTGCCTCCCCTCGACCTTCTCGGTACGTGCCTGCCTGTCTTTTCCTGCCTGCATGCACTGCTCCCTCCTCCTGCCGCACTCACAAGCAGCCGGTACAAGGGACGAGCTCCGCCCTCCTCTGTCTCTCCCTCCCCTCACCATCACGCCTCTCCCACCACACCCTGCATGCTCCCACCACACCCTGCATGCTCCCACCACACCCTGCATGCATTTGCCCACCCCCGTGCCTCCTCCCTCGCTGCTCCCTCCCTCACACTGCGCGTGCCTTTCCCTGCCTGCACCTCATTCAAGCAGCCTTCCCCCTCCCCGCACCCCCCTCCCCGTGTCATCCTGCCCGCACCCCCCTCGCCGTGTCATCCTCCCCGCACCCCCCTCGCCCTGCCCGCACACGGCAGACCCCGTGAGCCCGCCTGCGCTCCCTCGCCTCCACTTCCACTCGCTCCTCCCGCTCCTCCCCCCCGCCATGCAACTTGCTGCGGGGGCAACCGCGCCTGCTGCTGCTCCTGCTGGTGGGGGGAGGGGAGTGAAAGGGGAGGCAGGGGCAGGTGTGGGGGCGGGCAGTGCAGGGGGGCGGGGAGGGCGGGGCAGAGGAGGGCGAGGGAGAGGGAGGGGAGGGAGGGGAATGAAGCCGGCGGGCTGGGATGCTGAGCCTCCCGCTGCCGTGTGTGCTGGTGGCGAGTCAGCTGAAGGTGGGGCGGTGGTGGCGGGTTCAAGGGTGAAGGCAGAGGCGGGCGAGACGGAGTGGGAGGAGGATGCACCATTGGGGAGGCAGCAGCAGCAGGGGGGGGTCAAGAGGCCGCTGGGGCAGCAGGGCGGAGCTCTTGTGGTGGCTCGGCCGAAGCAGATGGTTCGGCGGATGCTGGTGTGGCGGGCGAATGAGCGCGAGGCGCTGAGAAAGGCCGTGCTGGCGTTCGGGTTGACCCGACTCTCCATGGTAAGCGAGGGGGAGGGAAGAACGGAGCGGGGGCTTGTGCGTGCTGTGAGTGGTTGGTCCCAGTCACCGCGCCACCACGCCCTTCCGCCTCCGCTCTATCGCCAACACCCTCCGCCTTCCACCCCCTCCTCTCCGCTCTCCCTCATACGCCCTGCACCTTGTGCCCTCCCCCACCTGTGCCGCAGCATACAGGTCACCCTCCACCGCCACCACCATGCCATACCGCACTCCGCTCCACGCCACCAACCCTCCCTCCCTCCCTCCCTCCCTCCCTCCCTCCCTCCCTCCCTCCCTCCCTCCCTCCCTCCCTCCCTCCCTCCCCCGCTCCCCACGTATCTCTCCCCCCTCCGTGCGCTCCCCATGCGATCAGGTGCAGAGCAGCATGCGGGCGAGCATGAGGAGCGAGCGGCACGGGGCGGGCGATGTGGTGGACGCCACGTGCCACTTCCTGCGCGCCTGCTCCACGCTGCAGCCCCCCGACGCCCTCGACCCGCGCGACCTCGCGTGGGCGCAGCGCCGCCTCGCCCACCTCGCGTCCCTCGCCCACGTGCCCCTGGGCGTGCCGGGGGACACTAGGGGCAGCGACGGGGGTGATGACGGGGGTGATGGTGAGGGAGACGGGGACGCAGCGGGAGGGGGAGACGCAGTGGGAGGGGGAGCGGGAGGGGACGGCATAGCGCGGCGGGTGGGGTGGTGGGAGCGGGTGCTGGTGGCGAGCTGTGCGCGCACGTGGCTGCGCCGCCTGCGCCTGCTGGAGCAGCTCGTGCGTGGGGGGGGAGAGGTGTGGGTCAGGGGGCAGGGTGGTATGGGGGCAGGGTGGTATGGGGGCAGGGTGGTATGGGGGCAGGGTGGTATGGGGGCAGGGTGGTATGGGGGCAGGGTGGTATGGGGGCAGGGTGGTATGGGGGCAGGGTGGTATGGGGGCAGGGTGGTATGGGGGCAGGGTGGTATGGGGGCAGGGTGGTATGGGGGCAGGGTGGTATGGGGGCAGGGTGGTATGGGGGCAGGGTGGTATGGGGGCAGGGCGGTATGGGGGCAGGGCGGTATGGGGGCAGGGTGGTATGGGGGCAGGGTGGTATGGGGGCAGGGTGGTATGGGGGCAGGGTGGTATGGGGGCGGGTGGTATGGGGGCAGGGTGGTATGGGGGCAGGGTGGTATGGGGGCAGGGTGGTATGGGGGCAGGGTGGTATGGGGGCAGGGTGGTATGGGGGCAGGGTGGTATGGGGGCGGGTGGTATGGGGGCAGGGTGGTATGGGGGCGAGTGGTATGGGGGCGGGTGGTATGGAGGCGGGTGGTACGGGGGCGGGTGGTATGGGTGACTTTCATCTCTCTTGTAATGTCATCTCCCCTTGAGCCTCTGTTGTCCCTCCTCTTTCCCCCATCAGCATCAGTTATTGCGTTTTTACAACAAGCAACCAACCCCCCTACCTCCCTTTCCCCTCTCTCCCGTCCTCCGTGCCTCTCCTCTTCCTCCCTTTGGGGGCCCCCAATGGTGGTGGGACCTCGCACGAGGTGCTGTGCTCTATGACACACAGCACGGGCTGTTGAAAATGCTCACAAGTCGCGGACCAACCATCCCTCTCCCATCCTCCCATGCGTCCCCCCCTGCCCCCCATCAGCACGAGGTGCTGGGATTCATGGCGCGCAGCAGCGGCTTCACCATGGCATGCCACCACGTCGCAGCGCTCACCGACGCCACGCTGCCCGCCCATTGGTGGGCGCGCGACGCTGACCTGGCGCTGCTGCTGGGCGTGGCGGCGCACGGGTACGGCGCGTACGAGGCCGTGTATGGCGATGCGGACCTGGGGAAGTACATTCGCAAGCCCCGGGGGGACAGGGGGGAGGGGGGGGAGGGGGGGGAGAGGGGGGAGAAGGGAGAGAAGGGGGAGCAGGAGGGGGGGCCGGGCGAGGGGGAGGGGTGGCTGGACGCATACACGTTGACGCGGCGGTTGAAGCGCCTCATCGAGCACCTCGTGCGCATCAAGCGAACGGTGCGCTGCCCTCTCTGCCCCTCACCCGCTGCCTTGCCCACCAGCCCATCCCGCCCTCACCGCCACCCTTTCACCCGCTATCCCATCTGGTCCATGTCCGAACTGAGCTTGAACCGATGCATTATATTGAGCTCAAAACTCGTCAAGTACATACGAAATGAGCAAGGAATGGATGAGGAGGAATCAGTGGTAATCCCAAGGCAATCTCCAATTGGTGTGTTGGAAATTGCTTGGAGATCACATTTGGGTTTGGTTGGGATGTGGGTGTACACCCAACCAAACACTAAGTGCAAACTACACTAGGCTAGGATATAGAAGTACAAATACAAAAGTTGAGATTGAGGTCTAGCTAACTGTGCACTCTTCCCCCTTCTCATGGTGCCACCCTTTCCTCTCCTCCGCTCTTCCCCCCCTCTCTCGACCCCCCTCCCCCTCTCTCCCCCTTTCCCCTCCCCCCTTCCTCTCCTCAGCTGGCCAAAAAGCCGCAGCCTGCACCCGCCCTAGTGGGACCTCCCCCCGCCTTCACCCCCGCCCACTTCAAGCGCGCCCTCCCGCCTGCCTCCGATGCCTGGGCTGCCCCCGGTGCCGCCGCCGCCGCCGCCGGTGCTGCTGCCGCCCCTGGTGCTGCTTCCGTTGCTGGCGGTGATGGCGGGGAAGTAGGGGGAATTGGGGCACGATGGGCCGCACGGGGGAGAGGGAGGGTAGGCAGGGGAAGGCGAGTGGGAAGTGGGGGGAGAGGAGGGCGGGGGGATCAGGGGCACGGAATGGGGAAGGGAAGAGGAGGAGGGAGAGGAAGAGGGGGGGAAGCAGGAGGACGGTATGAGGAATACGGGGGGGATGAGGAGGAGCAGTGGGGAGGGGAAGTGGAACACGGTGAGGAATACGGGGAAGAGGGGGATGACGGCATGGGGGAGGAGGAGTGGAACGAGGATACTCCTGTAGGGCGCGGTGGGGGGCGAGGGGAGGGCGGGCGAGGCGGTGCGGAGAGAGGGGGAGGGGCAAGGGGGCGGGGAAGGGGCCGCGGCAGGGGACGGGGAGGAGGGAGAGGCGGGGCAGCGGGTGGAGGGGCAGCCACCGCTGCTGATGGGAGTGGAGGGGGTGGAAGGGGGAGGGGGAGAGGAGGGCGGGGGCGTGGTGGCACGAGGGGGGGCGGAAGAGGTGCAGGAGCGGTGGAGATGGGTGTTGGAGGGGGGGAGAGAGAGGGGAAGGGCGGTAGGGGAGGGGGCGGAGAGGGCGAGGAGATGGAGTGGGAGGGGCAGGCGGGGGAGGGGGGTGAGGGTGGCCGCGCACGGGCGCATGGGGCAGGGTGGGGGCACGGGCATGGGCAAGGGCATGCAGGGGAGGGGCGAGGGGAAGGGAACAAGGCAGCGCAGGGGGGGGTGGACGCGGTGTGGAGCCGCAAGGAGAAGCTGGAGCTGCTGCGCCTGCTCATGCTGTGGGGGCTGCCCGCTGTGAGTGGCTCATGCTGTGGGGGCTGCCCGCTGTGAGTGGTTCTTTGCTCATGCAAAGCGTGCAAATCCATCAATGAAGATGTGGTGTGATGCATTACACGGTGCAAAATGCTGTTACTTGGTACAGCTCTTTGAATGAGAGTGGGCTTGTTTTGTGCTTCAACCCAACCATCCTATCTGTACCTCCCCTCACGCGTGCAGGAGCAGCAGCAGGGCAGCAGCAGCAGCGGCAGCAGCAGTGTGAGCTGGCAGCAGCTGCGCGACCACTCGCACGTGCCGTCCGTGCTCGCCAGGTCAGCAGCCTCCGTGGCGGCGTGCTTCGATGACGTCATCGCTGAGATGCAGCGCCGCCTGCAGGGCCTGCCTGCCTCCTCGCCCTCCACCCCTGCCACCGGGCCTGGCGCTGCTGGCGGCGCTGCTTCTAGCTCTGGCTTGGCAGCAGCAGCAGGAGGAGAGGAAGGAGAGGAAGGAGGGGAAGGCGAGGAAGGGGGTGGTGGTGGCGTGTCGGGCAAGAGGACATTTGCGCTGGGAGAAAGCCACCCTGCCTCCTGCCCGGTAATGTGCTGTGGCGCACCATCTGCCATGTGGCGCACCATCTGCCATGTGGCGCACCATCTGCCATGTGGCGCACCATCTGCCATGTGGCGCACCATCTGCCATGTGGCGCACCATCTGCCATGTGGCGCACCATCTGCCATGTGTGCATCCCACTGCTCCCTTTGTATTCCTTTTTCCAACGCTCCTCATACACACATGCCACCACCTCCGCCTCAACCGCTCTTCCTCCTTCCTCTCTGCCCTGGACTGCCCTCTGTTTCGCCCCTGCCGCCCCGCGCAGTGTCTGTTGTGCGGAGAGAGGGAGGCATCAGAGGCCAGGAGGCAGCGCAGGGGGCAACCACGAGTGGGGGAGGGAGGGGGGGCGGAGGGGGATGGGGAGAACGTGCTGCTCACTCCTGAAGACTCCGTGCTCAATGCCAAGACAGCCGTGAGTTGATGCCAAGACAGCCGTGAGTTGATGCCAAGACAGCCGTGAGTTGATGCCAAAACCTTTTCCCTTTTCCTTTTCTCCCGCTGCTCCACTCCTCCGGCCGTTTCTCCTGCATGCATTGCCCCTCTGCTTCTCCAACCTTTCATCTCCCACCGCGGCGCTGCATTCTCCCCCCCTCCACCAGGAGCGGCTGCTAGAGCGGTTGGAGGCGGTGGAGGTGCTGCGGCGGGCGGTGGCGGTGTTTGGCGGGGACTGGTTCCGGCTGGGCCTGTCCACGTACAAGTCGCACGACCTGCCCGCCTGGTGGCGTGCCGGCATCCACGATAAAGGGCTTGTTAAGGTGTGTGTGTGGCAGCTTGCCATGCATTAATATGGATATGTGGGCCCATATCGGCTGCTGTCCATCTCGGTATCTCCACCGCTCCGCCTCCTCCCCCCACTCCCCTCCCCCCTCTCTCCCTCCTCCCCCCCCTGTAGGGCATATTCTTGCACGGGTACGGGGCGTGGGCGGCCATCATGAAGGACCCCGAGCTGCCCTTCGCGGCGCTCATCGCGCCCAGCAAGGCCGCCAAGGGCAAGGCGGGGCCGCGCAAGGCCGCGGCAGAGGCGGAGGCCAGTGGCGCCGGCGAGGGCGGGAGAGGCGGCAGCGAGCAGGAGGACGAGGACGGGGGGGGCGGGGGAACGGCAGGGGAGGGTGCGCCGAAGGCGAAGGTGCTTGTGAGGAGAGTGAAGTATCTGGAGAAGATGTTGAAGCGGCAGCTCATCAAGCGTGATAGCTCGGGGCCTCGTAAGCGCATGTCCGCTGCTGCCAAGGCCTATGCTGCCGCTACCGCTGCCGCTGCCGCTGCTGCTGCCGCTGCTGCTGCTGCAGCTGTTGGTGGTGCTGCTGGTGATGCCAAGCCTGCTGCTGGCACTCTCAGTGGTGCCGCTGCTGCTGCTGACGTGGACGCAGAGCAGCAGCGAGTGCATGGACACATGGCTCCTGCTGGTTGGCTGGCAGGTGCACTCAGGGCTGGAGAAGGGGGAGATGTGGGAGGCGGCAGGGGAGCAAGTGGGGGAGGAAGTGGGGGAGGAAGCGGGGGAGGAGTGAGCCTGGAGTTCTCACTAGAGAGGGGCGCGGGTGCTGCAGGAGTAGGTGGGGGGGGAGCACGAGGTGTTCATCCGAGTGGCGCTGTTGCTGCTGGGCGTGGTGGTTCGGCCAGAATTGTGGATGGAGGTTTAGGCTTGGGAATAGGAGGTATTGGAGGAGGTATGGGTGGAGGTATGGGCGGAGGTATGGGTGGGCTCGACCTGAATTTGGTCTTGGACGAGGGCATGGAGGAGGACTAGATGGCATCCCTGCCTTCTGTTGCTTCTGTCAAGACCATGGGGCTGTGATGGGAGTGCCAGCTCAGTTCTATTTTAACAGATTGACGTTGTACCTAAGGCAAGAGCAAGCTACCCATGAATAGAATTGAACAGCATAGATTCAAGGTACCGTATGTATATTCAGCAAATGCGCGGATTTCACCCGGATAGACATGATGTTTTCCCCCTGGCCTGGCCCTGTATGATGCAAAGCAAAGCACCAATTCTCCAGCTTTGGCCTGAACAAAACCCGTAATTTTTTCTCTTGGCAGAAGTTATTGTAGCAGCGATGGAGCATGTGTGGACTAAACCAATCTGAGGTCCTGCAGAGCAAGGGAGCTAATCCTGTCCTGTATGCAGCCGGCATTTGCTTTTCACAGATAGGGGATTATAGACTTAAACATACCGTCATCGCCCGGATAGAAGACATATATGACTTATCTTATACATTACCGGTATAAAAAAGCTTGATGTGTCTTGTAATTGGTGAGAAGAAACGAGGAATGAAAATGACTAAGGGAAAGTTGGTTACAAATGCAAACCCTAGAAAAACTGTACCCCATATGTGCTACCCCACTATGGCCTACAGTAGCTATGTCATATAAATCTGACACACCCCCATAGGCAAAGTGGGGGAGAACAAGGGGTCACAAGACCAGTCAAGCAAAGCAAAACAAGCTCAGGGTGGATCACAAAGTCACCACACATTCCGAGCACAAGTTCAAGGCCACAAGGCCAGTTCACATGCAGGATTACATATATATATAAGGCTAGACAAGCAAGAGCAGGTGTATATATATATACGCAACAGTACAAACAAGGTCAAGGGGTGAGCAAGTGAGGCAAGGTAGGCACAAGACCCAGCTGAGTACAGAAGCGCTGATGATCACAAGGCGCAAGTGCCTTGGTGAAGATATCAGCAGTGTTGGCCTCAGAGGCCACGTACGCAAGCCGCAGCTGACCACGCTGCTGTAGCTCACGAGCAAGGAAGTAGCGGAGAGCAATGTGCTTCGTTCTGTGCTCCAGTCTCTGCTCTCGACACAAGGCCAGCATGGCCTTGTTGTCTACGTACAGTACTGGAGGAGAACGAGGCGGCTCTCCGAGGTCAGTCAGCAGGTAGGTGAGCCAGCGAAGCTCCTGTGCAGCCATGGCCCCGGCGTAGATCTCAGCCTCACAACTGGAGCCGAGAACAGAAGACGAGCGGGTAGCCCGCCACGAAACAGAGCCGGAACCAAGGCTGAAGGTGTAACCCTGTGACGACCGCTGCGTAGCCTGGTCGTCAGCCCAAGAAGCGTCTGCGTGCCCAGTGAGGACCACTGGACTCTGCCCTCCAAGCACAAGCCCCATGCCCGACGTACTGCACAAGTAGCGCAACACCCTCTTCGCTGCAGCCATGTGCTCCGGTCTGTGTCTCCCAGGAGCAACATAGCGTGCAAGAATGCTAAGAGGGTATGCAAGGTCAGGTCGTGTGCAGGTCATCAGGTACATGAGGCAGCCAACAAGCTCTGGGTACGGGCCACTCGACTCTACGGACTCATCCGAAGGCAGAGCTGAGAGCGAGTGGCGGGTAGGCAGAGGAGTGGCCTGAGGCGAGGAGTACGTGAAGCCGAAGCGCTGAAGGACCTGCTGCACCATGTGTGACTGAGTCAGGGTAATGGTGCGGCGTGCTCTGTCCCGGGTGATCTGCAAGCCAAGGTAGCTACGCAGTTCACCCAGGTCTGTGCACGTGTGTCTCTTCTGCAGCTCGGACTTCACGTGGGCGAGTCCAGCAGTGTCAGCTGTGGCGAAGACCAAGTCGTCGACGTACACGAGGATGTAGAACGGCGGCAAAGAAGTGTCGGTGCGCAGAAACAGCGACGGGTCGGCAGTAGAGGGAGCAAACCCAAGAGCCGCAAGTGTAGTCCTCAGTGTGTCGTGCCACTCACGCGGTGCCTGGCGGAGACCGTAGACTGGCCGCCGGAGGCTCCACTGGGTGCCAGGAGGAAAGGACCCAGTGAAGCCAGGTGGGCGACGCAGCCAGATCTCCTCGTGCAGGCTGCCCTGCAAGAAAGCAGTGCTGAAGTCAAGAGAGTGCAGCTCGTAGTCGCGGTGAGCAGCTATGTGCAGCAGTACCCGAAGAGTGGTCATCTTCGGGGTGGGAGAGAAGGTCTGAAAGTAGTCAACTCCCTGCCGCTGACTGAAGCCACGAGCCACGTAACGCGCCTTGAAGACAGGCGGAGAACCCGGCGGCCGCTTCACCCTGAAAATCCACATGCCACTGACGATGTTCGCCCCAGGCGGGGGAACCTCGTCAACGTAGGTGCCTGTGGACTTCCAGGAAGCCATCTCTGCGTCCATAGCTGCCTGCCACTGAGAGGAGTAGGGACCCTCTATCGCCTCCGCGTAAGAGCGCGGAGTCGGGATGTCAAGTGCATCCGGGTCTCCCTCAGGGGTAAGCAGTACGGACACGAGATGAGGTGAAGCAGCAGCCAAACACTGGAACTCCTCCTGCCTGTCCTCAAGGACGTCCGTGCCAAGGGCACACTCACCCCCGACAGACGGAGGACAGACAGACTCAGACTCAGCAACAAGACTAGCAGCGTAGTCTAGACGACAGCGAGCAGCAAAGTCGACGAGCTCAGTAACTAGGGCAGACGCAGCAGTGGACTCAAAGGAAGGGTCAGTGACAACAGTAGCAAGGAGACGCGTGACAGTAGGACTGGCAGCACGAAGAGAGTCCGACTCCGGGTCAGGAAGAGCAGGAAGAGAGGACTCAGGAGGAGAAGGCAAAGGGGCACGCAGAGGAGCAGTGGACGGACGCAGAGACATCCGGTGCGTGCCAGGGACAGGAGGAGGACGCTGACGCGAACCACGACCACTAGTGCGAGCAGCACGGACAGGCGACGCAGGGCGAGACGCAGGCTCACGACGCTCAGCAAGACCTCCACTAGGACCAGTGTAGGGAGAAGGAGCGGGCAGTGGGGAGGCCGGCTGTAACTGTAACTGTGACGGGACAGGCTGTGGACACTCTAAGGGAGGAGGAGGACCAGTAGAAGGCGGGAGACCAAGAACCTGCTGAAGGAGCGGAACGAAGTACGGCCTAGGCCGCACGGCGACTCCAGACACAGCAGGGACAGCACCAGTACCCCCAGCGGCAGCACCAGTACCCCCAGCGGCAGCACCAGCGCCAGCAGCACCTCCAGCTCCAGTACCTCCAGCAGCACCAGTAGCACCCCCACCAGGACCGCCTCCAGGACCGACAGCAGTAGCCTCAGCGCCAACACCCTCAGCAGCTCCAGCTCCAGTCGTACCCGCAGGCCCAGCAGCTCCAGTACTCCCAGTACGAGCACCTCCGCGACCCGCGGCACCAGCACCCTCAGCAGCCGACGAACCTCCAGCTCCAGCAGCACGCCTCCAGCGCCGGGAAAACCACTCGCGCAGCTCCTGTGGAGAGAGTGGCTCCCGCCGAGACGAAGCACCCGGAGAACCTCCAGGCTCAGCACCGCCAGACGCCACACGAGCAGGCCCAGCTCCCTCAGGCTCCGCACCCCCAAGCTCAGCACCTCCAGGCGTGGCACCCCCAGGCTCAGCACCCCCAGGCGTAGCACCCCCAGGCTCAGCACCCCCAGGCTCAGTACCCCCAGTAGTAGCACCCCCAGGCTCAGCACCCCCAGGCTCAGGACCCCCAGGCGTAGCACCCACACGCTCAGCACCCCCAGAGTCAGCACCCCCTGGCTCAGCACCCTCAGCAGCACCCGAGTCACTAGTAACCTCGACAGGCTCGACTGCGTCTACCTGGGACACACCTGAAGGGGCAGGACCCTGAGGGGGGAGGGGGTCTACCGGGGGGGGACCTGGTACAAGGAAGAGCGGTGGCGGGGGGAGGGACGGAGTGCGGTAGGGGAAGAGGCGGTAGTAGGGGACCGACTCGTCAAACGTGACGTCCTGGGAGGACAGAACACGGCGAGAGGTGGGGTGGTAGAACTGCCACCCTGGCGCGTCAGGGGGGAAGCCAAGGAAGACGCAAGGAGCAGCACGAGGGGACAGCTTGTCCGCAGACAAGTCGCGGACAAACGCCCGAGATCCCCAGACACGGAACGCAGACGCATCGCCAACCTTCCCCGTCCACAGCAAGGCTGGGGAGGTCTCCGGCATGGAGACCCTGGGGTGAAGGTTGATCTGATGCGCCGCGTACCGAACCACAAACGGCCACAGAAAATGGGGGGCAGCCGCATGCATCATGGACGTACGGGCGACGTCCATGACCATGCCAATGCGGCGCTCAGCAATCCCATTTTGCTGTGGAGAGTCCGGAAGCGTGAAGGTCTGGCGGATGCCTCGTGCACGACAGTAGGCTCGCAGAAGGCCAGAGGAGAACTCTCCACCTCTGTCAGAGTGCAGACGCAGAACAGGAAAGTCCGAGCCGAAGCTCTGCCTGAGCTGGAGACGAGCTGCGCGGATCCAGTCGATCAACACCTCAGTGACATCACCCTTGCTGCGCAAGGGGAAGACTGTGGTGTAACGCGAGTAGTCGTCAACCACCAGCAGGAAGTAGCGCTCGTGACCCTGTCCACGGACGCGGGCCGGGCCCCACACGTCCATGTGAAGCGTCTGCAGCGGGGCCTCTGTCGGAGGAAGCTGGGAGGAGTGAGGGGCAGCCCGCTGCCGCCCCTCGACACAGGGGACGCAGGTAGGGCCAGGCCCCGGAGGAAGGGGAGGGAGGGACCGGGGAAGACCAGAGACAAGGACACGGGAGGCCATGCCTCGGAGACGAAGCAGGGAGGGGTGACCAAGGCGGTGGTGCCAGAGGAGAGTCTCGTGAGACAGGAGGCGACACGAACAGGGGGCAGACTCAGGACCAGACCTGGACGCTGCAGCAAACACCTGACCCGACGCAGCTACCTGAACAGACGCAGTGACTGGAGGAGACGCAGTGGTCAGGGTGTACAGGCTCGACCCCGGCCGACGGGTAAACGTGGCCAGGTGTCGGCCAGTCCGAGCGT